GCTGAAGATGCAGGGGTTCTCCTTGCCCTTTGCAATATTTTATCTCATTGTGTTTGTGGTGGAGCATCTTCTCCTTATGGGAAGCTAATCCACAGAGGCTCCTCCATTATGCAAAGGAGCTCCATGGGGTCCCTGCAGCGCTCACCACTGTCTGTTGCAAAGGAGCCACAGGGATCCCGAATGCAAAGGTATGTCGCTTCCCAGGCTCCTCAAACTCCATAGGCTCCCACTGTCAAAACACAACTAACTTCCCCACCTTGTTTTCGTGGAATCTATTCTTAAATGCTCCCTGATATGTTCTTATTACTGTACATCCCAGGACGATTGAGTCCTCATTTCTTCTGTGGCCACTCCCATATTTAGATATTGGAAAGGATGTCACACTGAGGAGGAGAGCAAACTTGTTTTCTGATGTTCAATGAAGCCATGTTCATAGAATCATAGAGTTGGAAGAGACCTCCTGGGTCATCCAGTACAACCCCATTCTGCCAAGAAGCAGGAATATGCATTCAAAGCACCCCGACAGATGGCCATCCAGCCTCTGTTTAAAAGCCTCCAAAGAAGGAGCCTCTGCCACACTCTGAGGCAGAGAGTTCCACTGCTGAACAGCTCTCACAGTGAGCAAGTTCTTCCTAATGTTCAGGTGGACACAATGGAGCCATGTTATGAGAAAAGAGATCCCACTAAACCAGTGGTTCTCAACCTTCCTAATGCCGCAACCCCTTAATACAGTTCCTGATGTTGTGGTGACCCTCAACCATAACATTATTTTTGTTGCTCCTTCATAACTGTGGTTTTGCTACTGTTATGAATTGTAATGTAACTATCTGATATGCAAGATGTATTTTCATTCACTGGACCAAATTCGGCACAAATACCCAATATGCCCAAATTTGAATACTGGTGGGGTTGGGGGAGGGTTGTTTGAGAGTTGTAGTTGCTGGGATTTAAAGTTAACCTACAATCAAAGAGCATTCTGAACTCCACCAGCGATGGAATTGAACCAAACTTGGCACACAGAACTCCCATGACCAACAGAAAATACTGGAAGGGTTTGGTGGGCATTGACCTTGAGTTTTGGAGTTGTAGTCACCTACACCCAGAGAGCAATGTGGACTCAAACAATGATGAATCTGGACCAAACTTGGCACGAATACTCAATATGCCCAAATGTGAACACTGGTAGAGTTTGGGGAAAATAGACCTTGACATTTAGGAGTTAAAGTTGCTGGGATTTATAGTTCACCTGCAATCAAAGAGCATTCTGAAGCCAACCAATGATACAATTAGGCCAAACTTCTCACACAGAACCCCCATTACAATATAATACATTGTGTTTTCTGATGATCTTTGGTGACCCTTCTGACACCCCCTTGCGACCCCCCAGGAGTCCCGACCCCCAGGTTGAGAAACACTGCACTAAACAGTACGGGGGAAAAAACCTTTGTTGTGGTTGTTTGAAAGTGGAATATATTGCCTTGGAGTAAGATGGGAATCTCCTTCTATGGTGGTTTCAAAGCAGAGGCCAGATGGGCATCTGTCAGGAGAGCTCAGATTGGGTTGGAAGAATGCGTTTTGGGGTCTGGCTGTTAGGAATTGTGGGAGTTGAAGTCCAAAACACCTGGAGGGCCAAAGTTTGCCCATGCCTTCTCTAGTCCATACAGCAAAGTTACTTTAGCCCTGCCTTTACCTTCTTCTGGGCCAGGTCACAATCCAGCTCCTCCTCTTCATCCTCGGAACTGAGGGCAGCCCCTTTGGGGGGCACCTCGGCTTTGCCCACGGATGTATTGTAATAGACTGAGCAGGAGGGACTGCTGGGGTTCCCCCCATAATCTAGGGGGGCAGATTGAGACAGCTGCCTGTAGCAAGAGAGAAGCAAAGGAGAAAGATGCATGGGGCCTTCCAGATCCATAGGTGACAAATACACAATTTCAGCCATCAATCAGAAATCTCCTTATGCTTTTGTGCATTGCAAGCATAAATGTTTGAAAACAGAGGACAAGTGGACGGCTTGTTTTCCTTTGCGAGCTACAGCCTTGTTGCATGAAAGATTCACGGCAAAAATATGTTTCTCGTGTTCGATGCGGGTGCAGCTGATAAATATTAAAAGGCATGTGTTGCACAGAGCACATCCAATAAATGTGTAACAACCTTTTAGAAGGAAAACATCCAGCGAGCATCATGGGAATCTGTTCTGCCCACGACAGAAAGGGCTTAAACCAGAGCCAGCGCTTGGCAAGAGATTGGCTTTCTGGGCTTCCAGGGACTTGCGGGGACATGAGAGAAGCCTCCCACAAGGATGATAAATACATCAAAAATCATCCGGGCGTCCCCTGGGCAACGTCCTTGCAGGCGGCCAATTCTCTCACACCAGAAGCGACTTGCAGTTTCTCAAGTCGCTCGTGACACGACAAAAAAAAAGGGACTGACTAACGGTCATGGCAGTTGGGGCTTTTGGGAGTTGCAGTCCATAAATACCTGGAAAAACTGTGCTAGAAGGCACATCTTGTGTTTTAAGTGATTTCAAACCTCACAACCACCATGTCAGACTACACAGAGAAGCCATTAAAATCCACAAGCATGTGGACAATTTCAACAGAAAGGAAAACCATGAAAATGAACAAAATCTGGCTACCAGTATTAAAAAAACTCAAAAATTACAACAGCAAAACAACAGAGAGTAAACAATCAGGCACATCAAATCACTCTCAACAAAAGATTCCCCCAGGCACTTCCAAACCATTAAATGCTAATCAAGGTGGTCAGTTGAAACATTCACACCTAGCTCCAGCAGACAAAGAGTCCTTTGTCCCACCCTGGTCATTCCACAGATATATAAACCCATTTTCCTAGTTCCAACAGACCTCACTACCTCTGAGGATGCTTGCCATAGATGCAGGCGAAACATCAGGAGAGAATGCCTCTAGAACATGGCCATATAGCCCAAAAAAACACTACAACAACCCAGTGATTCCGGCCATGAAAGCCTTCAACAATACATTGATTTCAAACGCTTCATCTGTTTAATCTAGTGTAATGTAATTTATATTATTATGTAATTATATAAATTTATATGAATAAAATGTATATAATTTAAATATATATATATTAAAATACTACATATATTTAATAGTATTAACATTTATATTTATATATATGTGTGTGTGTGTTTAATTTGTCTGTTTACTTGATTAATAATTTAATAATAATCTTAAGGTAAAGGTAAAGGCTATCCCTTGACATTAAGTCTAGTTGTGTCTGACTCTGAGGGGTGGTGCTCATCTCAATTTCTAAGCCAAAGAGCCAGCGCTGTCCACCTCCGCCTCCTAGGTCATGTGGCCGGCATGACTGCATGGAGCACCGTTGCCTTCCTGCAGAAGCGGTACCTATTGATCTACTCACAGTACTAGGTTTTCAAATTGAGGTTGGAAGAAGCTGGGGCTAACAGCAGGAGCTCACCCTGCTTCCCGGATTCGAACTGGCGACCTTTCAGTCAGCCAGTTTATCAGCTCAGCAATTTAACCTGCTGCGCCACTGGGGGCTCTATGCAATTATATAAATGTATATAAACATTAAATTAACATTAAATTAATTTGTAAATTTATTTTATGTTTATACACACACACACACACACACATACACACACACACACATATATATACACACAAACATTATAGAAATTTTATTTATATGTGATTATATAAATGTATATAAATAAAACTTCTATTATACACACACACACATATATATATCGGCACTCCATGCAGTCATTCTGGCCACATGACCTTGGAGGTGTCTACGGACAACGCCGGCTCTTTGGGTAAGAAATGGAGATGAGCACCAACCCCCAGAGTCGGACACAACTGGACTTCATGTCAGGGGAAAACCTTTACCTTATACATACTAACATTAAATTAATTTAATGTTTAATTTGTCTGTGTAATTAATTAATAATTTAATAACCATCTGGATAATAATTGGGGGGGGGGGTGCAAAGAGTCAGGTTGGCAGAAGCTGGGGCTAACAGCGGGAGCTCACCCCACTCCCTGGATTCGAACTGGCAACCTTTCCTTCAGCAAGTTCAGCAGCTCAGCGGTTTAATGTGGGGGGGGGGGGGCAATGCAATAATAATATTATGTAACTGTTCCTGGTTTGAAAGTGTTATTGCTTGTTTAATTGTGGATCCTGTTTCAAAAGCATTTATTATACTTTAGAAACTTTGTTCTTGTGGTTGTTACAAACTATGTAGGATTGGTTGAGACTCAATATGATACAGTATTCACTGGAAAACTGGAGCAAACTATGCTGCAGGGTGTCCCTCCCGCAAGAACAGTTTTGGCAGTTTGATAAACTTTTCCCATGTTTTTATGATAGAACCAGTTAGGAAAAAAATAATTATAACCCAGGAACAAAAAATATGTTGGGTTGTTATAGGTTTTTTCGGGCTATATGGCCATGTTCTAGAGGCATTTTCTCCTGATGTTTCGCCTGCATCTATGGCAAGCATCCTCAGAGGTAGTGAGGTGATGCTTGCCATAGATGCAGGCGAAACATCAGGAGAGAATGCCTCTAGAACATGGCCATATAGCCCAAAAAAACCTACAACAACCCAGTGATTCCGGCCATGAAAGCCTTCGACAATACAAAAAATATGTTACACAGTGTAATCCTCCTAACAGCCTTGCAAGGTAGGCCCAACAACATACAGAGAAGGCCAGCGCCACCCAATTGTCCCACCTGTTTCCCAGAAGAAGAGCAGCTTCACCACTGCTCAGGAGCCCCAGTGGTGCAATGGGTTAAACCCTTGTGTTGGCAGGACTGCTGATTGAAAGGTCGGCAGTTCAAATCCGGGGAGTGGGGTGAGCTTCCATCTGTCAGCTCCAGCTTCTCATGTAGTAAAACATCCAGGTAATGTTTTTGTAGATGGCCAATCCTCTCACACAAGAAGCGATTTGCAGTTTCTCAAAAAAAAAAACCCACTGCCCAGAGCATCTGCCTACCTCTCAGGAGGGTCTTGGTCCCTGTCTTGGGCTGACCAATCTCTCCTGGTCCAGGCGGAGCCGTCTCCCGCGGAGAAGAGGTCCTCCATGACTTCGGCTGCTGTCATCCGGCCCAAGGAGGGGCCCAGCACCCCGGCCAAGGAGCGGTCCCTCCCGGCCACGTCCCGCATCAGCTCCTGCGAATCCAGGCGGGAGACAGTGGGCCCTGGTCCCATGACTTTGCTGCAGGGGAGGGCGTCTCTTGTGGCCCCTGACTGTGCCGGATGGTGCTCCTTGGGGGCTGTGGGAAGAAGGGAGGGCCCACATGGATTTACCGTATTTCACTGCATGATACTCGCAAGGACACCCATTCTGGGGCCTTGAAAATGATATTGGGAAGGGAAGGATAAGGAAAGGAAGGTAAAGGAAGTGAAGGAGGTTAGGGGGCGGAAGGTAAAGAGCATGGGCTCCCGATTAGAAGATAAGTCCAAACAGCATCTGAGGCTGAATTTCTATGATGGTGAATAAAACCATTGCTATCTGTATTAGAACAATTACTTCACCCAACTGAATCCAGTGGGGAGATAGCATGACATTGCTTTTTTCCCAGTGGAAAAGCCAGACAATTTGGTAAGTAGGCAAACTGAAAATATGCCATTTTGCAGAGATTCATCAGAATGGCTGTTCTTAGAAGGGGTCTGAATTCAAGGGATTCTCAATATTCATTTTTCATGACACACCAATGGGGCTCTTGTGGCACACAGTATGTGAATTAGTGATTTGCTGCATAGTGTTAGGGATGAGCAACGGGACTGTGGCGCAGCTGGCTGGGAGTCAGCTGCATTAAGATCACTACTGACCAAAAGGTCATGAGTTTGAAGCCAGCCCAGGTCGGAGTGAGCATCCAACCAATTTGTTTAGCTAGCTGGCAACCTTTGCAGCCCGAAAGACAGTTGCATCTGTCAAGTAGGAAATTTAGGTACCGCTTATGTGGGGAGGCAAATTTAACTAATTTACGAGGCCATAAAAATCTCCAGCAAGCATGCAAAGAATGAGGAAGTACTCCATCAGTGTCACAAATTGTTGGTGAAGGGACAGCTCCCCTGGTGGTCAAAATACCCTCAAGAAAAGCTGGAATGTTAAACTGCCTCTGTGTCTGTCTATATATTGTGTGTCTATGGCATTTAATGTTTGCCATGTATATGTACATTGTAATCCGCCCTGAGTCCCCTGCGGGGTGAGAAGGGTGGAATATAAATACTGTAAATAAATAAATAAATAAATAAATAAATAAATAAATATGTGCCTGTCCCCTTGAAGTTATAGGGCAGACATGGGCAAATTTTGGCCCTCCAGGTGTTTTGGATTCCAACTCCCACAATAGGAATTGTGGGAGTTGGAGTCCAAACACCTGGAGGGCCAAAGTTTGCCAAGGCCTGCCCCATAGCTCCAATTTGCTGTACTTTAACAGCAATTATTTGATGTGTCTGTTTCTTTCACGTTGAGAGTTGCATTGGGAGACAATGGGATATAGAGACTGATAGAGGCACAGAGATGGGAGGCTCCAGGCCTTGCAAGGAGACAGCCAAACTCACAGGGAATCCTGGGGAGGCTGCTTGGGGAGGCCGGCTCGGTGGTTCTGTGGACGAGTCCGCTCTGCCCCTTTTCCCAGCTCGACTCAGGGGTGGCTTCCTCCTCCAAGGAGCTGGATGGCCTTTGAAGCAGAAAAGTTACAAAGCTCAGGTACAAGTGGAATGTCAACCTTTCCAAAAGGCAAGCCTCTGTCACCCTGTTTTTTCAGATGTTTCCAAAATGTGGGTTGCTGTGAGTTTTCCAGGTTGTGTGGCCATGTTCCAGAAGCATTCTCCCCTAAAGTTTCGTCTACATCTATGGCAGACATCCTCATAGGTTGTGAGGTCTGTTGGAAACTAGGCAAATTGAGTTTATATATCTATGGAATGTCCAAGGTGGAAGATTGCCATTGATGTGGGTGAAATGTCAGAAGAGAATGCTTCTGGAACATAGCCATGCAGCCTGGAAAATTTACAGCAGCCCAGTGATTCTGATCATGAAAGCATTCGACAACATGTTTCCAAAATGCCTTGACTTCCCCCACTTCCTCCACTTCCTCCCTCGGTTTCCTTCCACTGTTGTCAATTGAGCTCAAGATGCAGAAGCAGCTTGTGCTCAATAGACTCAATTAAATATACAATCAGGGGAAGAATACTGCCCATATTGTGGGATTCAGGGAGCAACTGTGCTGCAAAAGTAATGCAGTTTGGCTCCACTTCAACTGCCTCGGCTCAATGCTACAGAGCAACTTGAGAAACTGCAAGTCGCTTCTGGTGTGAGAGAATTGGCCGTCTGCAAGACGTTGCACAGAGGATGCCTGGATGTTTTGATTTTTACCATCCTTGTGGGAGGCTTCTCCCATGTCCCTGCATTGGGAGCTGGAGCTGACAGAGGGAGCTCATCCGCACTCTCCCCAGATTTGAACCTCTGACCAGCACATTGTGCCACCGGGGGCTCGCAGACAGAATGGTAAGGTGCGAGCACTCTTGGCTGGAGAGGGTGAAACAATAGGATATAGAGACTGATATATCTGTGCAACACTCCATTTGCACAGATATAACCATGGCAATGAATGTGGTGCCAATAGACAGTGCAGATGCAGCCGTAGGCCAACGCAAATGGGAGCAGTCTCTCCTCACTTGTGTCTTCTGCCATGTTTGGATATGCCCTAGTTTTCCATGTTGAATGGATGGCCAATGTCAACTTACCGGGAGGATACGCTCTTGTCGCTGGGGTCCAGAGTGGGCCACTCGGGGCTCTGGCACGGAGAGCGGTGACAGTAATAGCGAAGGCTGCCTGGCTCCGTGGGCATCCTGGAGGGTGAGGAGGAGGCAGCTTGATTGGAGGGGCTGGCACAGGAAGAGGAAGGGCTCTGCCCACGGGGACCTTCGTCCCTGAGTTGCTCCAAGGGGAGGCTTTGCAACCGCTTCCGGGCCGCCTCCAGAGGGGATTCAGTGCCGGCTCTGGTGGGTGGCAGCTGGCATCGGGGGCGGTACTTCTCCCAGTTGGGGGGCGGTGGCCGTGGAGGGGGCGGGCCCTTCCTTTGGGCCGCACAAGGCGGTTCCAGAGGGGCCTCCTCCACCTTGGCTAGGAGAGCTTCCCGGCCATCCCTGCTGCTGGGCGGCTCCACACCAAGGTGGCTTTCCGAGTAGGCTCTTCCGCGGATGGGGGCCATGCGGGGCTCCTCCAGACCCATAGCCTCTCGCCCCAGCCCTTCGCGGTCCCAGGAGGAGGAGGAGCGGCAGAAGGAGGGCGGCCGTTCGGGTTCAGGCTCCTCGAAGCAGGTCCAGAAGGGGCTGGCCCTGGCAAAGCCCATCTGGTGCTGGGGCAGCTCACTGGAAAAGACACAACACAAAATCCTGAAGTTGGAAGAGACCCAAATGGACCATCTAGTCCATGCCCTTTGGGCCTGGAAGGTGGACACAGTCAAAGCCCTCCTGACAGATAGCCATCCAGCCTCTCCTTAGAATCCTCCAGAGAAGAAAGAAACAATAACAGAATCCTAGAATTAGAAAGGGGCACAAGGATTCATCCAAAACAAGCCATACAGGAGGACACAATCAAAGCCCTCCCAAAAGATGGACATCCAGCTTCTACTTAGAATCCTCTAGAGAAGAAAGAATCACAGAATCCTAGAATTAAAAAGGGCCACAAGGAGCCATCCAGTCCAAGCCATGTAGGAAAACACAATCAAAGCCCTCCCAACAGATAGCCATATTCAGCTTCTACTTAGAATCCTCCAGAGAAGAAAGAATCACAGAATCCTAGAATTAGAAAGGACCACAAGGAGCCATCCAGTCCAAGCCAAGTAGAAGATGGCCATCCAGCTTCTACTCAGAATCCTCCAGAGAAGAGAGAAAGAAAGAATCACAGAATCCTAGAATTAGAAAGGGGCACAAGGATTCATCCAAAACAAGCCATGCAGAAGGACACAATCAAAGCTCTCCCAACAGATGGCCATATACAGCTTCTACTCAGAATCCTCCAGAGAAGAGAGAAAGAAAGAATCACAGAATCCTAGAATTAGAAAGGGGCACAATGATTCATCCAAAACAAGCCATGCAGGAGGACACAATCAAAGCCCTCCTGACAGATAGCCATCAAGCCRCTCCTTAAAATCCTCCACACATAGATAGATTCCTAGAATAGAAGGGACCACAATGGGCATTCACCAAAGTCCCTTTTGCCATGTAGAAAGACATCACCCAAGCCTTCCTGACAGATGGACATCCAGCCTCTGCTTATAAACCTCTAGAAAAGGAGACTCCAAGTTGATAAGGTTAATCTGGACAAAGGAGAGGCACAAGGCCAAAAAGGTACCAACAGGAGAGGCACAAATGAGGTTCTACATCAGCCCCCCTGCCAAAGCCCATTGCCATCACCACAGACTCCTTGCCAAAGAGAATGAAGCACTGAGCCTGACTCAGAGCATGTGGGCATTGAAGCAATGGCTGCCAAGTCAGATGTTGCCTCCTTCATGCAGAGATGTCATTCTCCTTCTCGCTGCTTTTCCTCTCTTTCCTCCAAGAAATAGGCTGTTTAAAAGGGCAACAAACAGCTCAACCGCTATATTTATCCCCTTTGCCAAGGGGACGGGGCCAGTTGGCATCCCACTCGGGCTGCGCCACGAAATGGCTGTGGGCAGGTGTCTTGGGAGAAGAATCCTGAAGCCTGGACTTCTCGGAGTGGGAGGCCATGATGCAGCACTTCCGTCTCCGGAGCGTCCAACAAGGGCGCCTTAAAAGGTCAAATACGCAGCAGAGTGGGCGCTCCGGACTGCAGACCTCTCACCTGCAGCACAATGTGCAGGAGGAAAGCACTAGAAACAGAATACAATGGCAAGGGGCTGCCTTGCCCTCTGGAATCTGGATCACCAATATCTTATTTTTCCAAGTTCCATATATTATGTCTCCATAGATCCACAAAAATCAGTTCCACCTTGTCTCCTGTGCTATTCCAATAATGTAATATAATATAATATAATATAATATATTGTGTATACATATAATATTTATAATATTGTAATGTAATGCAATAGGTAAAGGTAAAGGTAGTCCCCTGACATTAAGTCCAGTCATGTCTGACTCTGGGGGTGTGGTGCTCATCTCCATTTCTAAGCCGAAGAGCCAGCGTTGTCCGTAGACACCTCCAAGGTCATGTGGCCGGCATGACTGCATGGAGCGCCGTTACCTTCCCGCCAGAGCGGTACCTATTGATCTACTCACATTTGCATGTTTTCGAACTGCTAGGTTGGCAGAAGCTAGGGTTGACAGCGGAAGCTCACGCCGCTCCCCGGAATCGAACCTGTGACCTTTCGATCAACAAGCTCAGCAGCTCAGTGCTTTAACCCACTGTGCCACCGGGGGCTCCTATTATTATTATTATTATTATTATTATTATTATTATTATTATTATATTATAATGCAAAATAATAATAATAATAATAATAATAATAATAATAATAATAATAATAATATGATATCTATATAAATAAAAATGTAATGTTCGTTTGTGGGATTAACAGAACTCAAGAACCACTGGGGGAATTGACACCAAATTTGGACACGATACATCTAACAACCCAATGTATGTCCTTCGCTAAAAAAAATCAAACAACGAAAACAAAAAGCAGAAAGGACTTCTAAACTGCATGTCCACAAAGGAGAAATTGCATGCCCACAAAGAGAACCATGGCCACGCCACCTCCTCCTCGCGGAGAAACAGCCAGCCGTTAAAGCATTAGGAGCCAGGCGCGTGTGCACGACCACACACACAGACACAAGCAAGAGTGGGCACCATGAGAGTGGAGGTGGAGGCTTGCCACATGGAGCCCCTTCTCTTTTCCTGCTATGTCAGGAGGGCGGTCTCATCCTCCTTTCCCTGTTGGAAGAGGAAGGGGCGGATGATTGGCCGCAGCGGCGGCAGCGGATCCACAGACAAGGAAGAAGGGGAGGAGGAGACGAGGAAGGTCAAGGATGCTTGAGTAAAGGACCTTCCTTCTCTTCCTCACTCCCTTCCCTTCTTTCCTCCCTTCCTCCCTTTCTTTCCTTTTCTTCCTTCCTTCTCCTTCCTTTCCTTCTTTTCCTCCTTCCCTTCCTTCCTGTCCCTACTTCCTTCTTCCTTTCCTTCCTCCCTTTCCTTCCCTCCCTTCCTTTCCTCCTTCTTTCCCTTTTTTCATTTCCTTCCCCATCATTTCCTTCCCTCCCACCTTTCTTCATTCCCTTCCTCCTTTCCCTCCTTCCTTCCTTCTCCTTCCTTTCCTTCCTGTCCCTCCTTCTTTCTTTTCCTTCCTTCCCTTCTTTCCCTCCTTCCCTCACTCCCTTCCTCTTTCCTTCCTTCCTGTCCCTCCTTCCTTCCTTCTTCCTTTCCTTCTTTCTATGTAAGATATAAATACAATATTAAATGGAAGGGGACAGTCAAGAAGTAATGAGAGAAGGAGGGAAAGAGGGAAGGAAGGAAGGAGAGAAGGAGGGAGGGAAAGAAGGAAGGAAAGAAAGAAAGAGAAGCAAGGAAGGAGAGAAGGAAATAAAAAAGTGAAAGGAAAAAGAGAGGGAAGGAAGGAGAGAAGGAACAAAAGAAAGGAAGGAAGGAAGGGAGAAAAGGAAGTGTAACAAAGAAAAGAAAGGGAGGAAAGAAACAGGTAGAGATGGAAGAAAAAAGAGAAAATAGGGAAGGAAAAAGAGGAAGGTAAGGAAAGAGGGAAGGAAGGAGAGAAAGAGGGAGGGAAGGTTGGCCACAGCAATGCGTGGCGGGTACAGCTAGTTATAATTATATGTTTATATTACATGTAATATTGCTAATAATAATACGATATAGTGGTGCAATATAGCAATGTTTAATGCTGATATTGTACTATGCTAATAATATAATATATTGTGTGTAATTATATACCTTGTAAGCCGCTCTGAGTCCCCTTCGGGGTGAGAAAGGCAGCATATAAATGTTGTAAATAAATCAATAATAAATACTTCCTGCAGAAGTCAAACCAGACAGCAGCACTGCTAAAAGATCTCAGACAACTGGACATTTGGTTATCAGCCTACCAAAGGTAGGAAAAGAGAGAAGCTAAAGGGCCTTCCCATTGGATTTCTTGCCAGCATAACCTTCTTCCCTCTTTCAGTGTTTTATGCCTTTTAGGGACTACAAGCCACATGATAAAAATGTCCCGTGCAGAATCTTCTGCCATATATGACCGTCCAAACTGTGATTACATTGCACAGTAGAACCTCTACTTAAGCTTGTCCTAACTTTAAAATGTTTTGAGTTAAGAGTTTTGCTTTGACATATAAGCAGTGTTTGGAATTAAGAGATTGTGCCGGAGGAAGTGGTAGCATCAGAGGGAGTGCTGGCACAAGAGTATAGTGCTTTAGAGCTTCAAAGGGAGCAGCCTCAATGCCTCGTGCTTTTGTCCGCTTTGGGAAACTGCTATCCGCTTTGCTCGTCTGTTTTGAGGAACTTTGGGTTAGTTGATTTTGTGTGGTATTTATTCCTGGGATGTTTGGTTACGGAGCCCCCAGTGGCGAAGTGGGTTAAAGCACCGAACTGCTGAGCTTGATGTCTAATGTTATTTGCTATTGTTTTAATGTTTATTGCTGTTTTATGAGTTTTTTGTTGTATTTTGATGCTGTTGTTTTTGTGATGTTTGGGCCTCGGCCTCTTGTAAGCTGCACCGAGTCCTTCGGGAGATGTTAGCGGGGTACGAATAAAGGTTTATTATTATTATATTATTATTATTGACCAAAAGGTCGCAGGTTCGAATGCGGGGAGCAGCATGAGCTTCCACTGTCAGCCCCAGCTTCTGCCAACCTAGCAGTTCAAAAACATGCAAATGTGAGTAGATCAATAGGTACCACTCCCGCTCCGGTGGGAAGGTAATGGCACTCCATGCAGTCATTCCGGCCACATGACCTTGGAGGTGTCTATGGACAATGCCAGCTCTTCAGCTTAGAAATGGGGATGAGCACCACAGCCCAGAGTCGGACATGACTGGACTTAATATCAGGGGAAAACCTTTAGCTTTTTACCTTACTATGTTTGGTTACATCCCGTATAGACTACTGCAACACTCTCTATGTGGGGTTGCCTTTAAGGACTGTCTGGAAGCTTCAAATGGTCCAATGGATGGCAGCCAGATTAATAACAGGAGCGACACTCAGAGAGCATACAACTCCTCTGTTGCACCAGCTCCACTGGCTGCAAGTCTGCCACTGGGCGTAATTCAAAGTGCTGGATTTAGCCTATAAAGCCCTAAATCAGTGTTTCTCAACCTGAGGGTCGGGACCCCTGTGGAGGTCGCGAGGGGGTGTCAGAGGGGTCGCAAAAGACCTTCAGAAAGCATAGTATTTTCTGTTGGTCATGGGTTCTGTGTGGGAAGTTTGGTCCAATTCTATCACTAGTGGGGTTCAGAATGTTATTTCATTGTAGGTGAACTATAAATCCCAGCAACTACAACTCTCAAATGTCAAGGTCTATTTTTCTCAAACTCCTGTTCACATTTCAGTATATTGAGTATTTGTGCCAAGTTAGGTCCAGATTCCACAGTGCTCTCTGGATATAGGTGAACTACAACTCCAAAAATTCAAGGTCAATGTCCACCAGATCCTCCCAGTATTTTCTCTTGGCCATGGGATATATATACTGTTTTGTTGGAAACCGCCTTGAGTCGCCGACAGGCTGAGAAAGGCGGTATACAAATACAGTAAATAAAATAAATAATAATAATGGGAGTTCTGTGTGCTAAGTTTGGTTCAATTTCATCATTGGTGGTGTTCAGAATACTCTTTGATTGTAGGTGAACTATAAATCCCAGCCACTACAGCTCCCAAATGACAAAATCAATCCCCCCCAACCCCACCAGTATTCAAATTTGGGCATATTTTTTGGGCATCAAATTGTTGCCATTGTAAACTGCCTGAGAGCTGAGAAGGGCGGTATACAAATACAGTAAATAAATATATAAATAACTAGCTGTCCCCTGCCACGCGTTGCTGTGGCCCAGTTTGTTGATCTGGAAAATAAAGGGAATGAGAAAGTGTTGGTATCTAATATATGGAATTTCTTTCTGCTTGTGGGTAAACAGTATTTCTTGCTGTTTCTTTGTCAGTGTTGATGTGGAGAGTGCCTGGTTTGCCCACCCTGGAACATGCAACATATCATTGTCCTTCTTTAAGGGTCCCTTTCAAAACTATGATACTATATCTATGTGTGTGTGAATTATATCTATCTATCTATCTATCTATCTATCTATCTATCTATCTATCTATCTATCTATCTATCTATCTATGGCTGGATGGCTCTTTGTCAGGAGGACTTTGTTTACATTTTCTTGCCCTGATGAAGGGAGTTGGATTGGATGGTCTTAAGTATTTTCTGTTGGTCATGGGAGTTCTGTGTGGGAAGTTCGTCCTGATTCTGTCATTCATGCATTCATGGGGTTCAGAATGCCCTTTCATTGTAGGTGAACTGTGAATCCCAGTGACTACAACTCCCAAATGTCAAGGTCTATCTCCCCCAAACTCCATCTGTGTTCATAGTTGGGTGTATTGAGTGCTTGTGCCAAGTTTGGTCCAGATCCATCATTGTTTGAGTCCACAATGCTCTCTGGATGTAGGTTAACTACAACTCCCAAACTCAAGGCCAATGCCAGTATTTTCTGTTGGTCATGGGAGTTCTGTGTGCCAAGTTTGGTCCAAGGCCATCGTTGATGGAGTTCAGAATGCTCTTTGATTGTAGCTGAACTATAAATCACAGCAACTACAACTCCCAAATGACAAATTCATAATTTTTGAGTGATGGTCACTCCTTGTGTTGTGAGACATTTTGTTGCCAAATTTGGTGTGATTTCGTTCATTGGTTCTTTTGTTTTTAAGGAACTCATTATGCACAGAGCATTTTTATATATATAGACAAGTGGATAATAAATACCCTTCATGCTGGGAGAGGGGTGTCCGCCTTCCCATGCAAAGAAGTGGCCGAAGTTGGAGGAAAGTGTGCTTTTTGGATCACAGCTCTCAGAATCCCCCACCTTGTGGCCTTCCCTCCTGATGCCCCAAAGGACACACACCAAGCATTTCCTCCCTTTCCTCCATTCCACTGCTTTTACCTCATTGACTGGCTGGTCTTCCTGTTTATCGCAGGGGGCTCCCAATCGTCTGCAGGAAATTCCTGGTGAAAAAGAATCAGAGAGTGAGGGCTGGGGACCGACACAAACATCAATAGGGCTCTGGCAGAGGATGAAAGGAGCCCACCCAGGCCGCATTTCACACGTCCGATTTCCAAAGGGAAATTGTCCCCAAAAGTCATCTTCCCAAGCTCGGACTGTGTTGCTCTTTCAGTTTCCTTCCCCGCTTTGCTGCCATTTCTCAGGATATGTTTTCCTCCTCAGAATCCTGTTTTGTATCAGGTCAATAGCTTTGTTGACAGTGCTGGACAGACTGCTATCTATATAAGTAAAAATGTAATGTTCGTTTGTGGGATTAACATACCGTAACTCAAAAACCACTGGACAAATTGCCACCAAACTTGGCCACAAGACACCTAACAACCCAAGGAGTGACTATCACTCAAAAGAAAATTGATTTTGTCATTTGGGGGTTGTAGTTGCTGGGATTTATAGCTCACCTACAATCAAAGCACAATCTCAACTCCACCAATGATGGAATTGAACCAAATGTGCCACAGAGGACTCCCATGACCAACAGAAAGCACTAGAAGGGTTTGGTGGGCATTGAACTTTAGTTTGGGAGTTGTAGTTCACCTACATCCAGAGAGCACTGTGGACTCAAATAATGAGAGATCCAGATCAAACTTGGAACGAATACTCAATATGCCCAAATATGACCACAAATTGAGTTTGGGGAAAACATACCTTGACATTTGGGAGTTGTAGTTGCTGGGATTTATAGTTCATCTACAGTCAAAGAGCATTCTGGACTCAACCAATGATTGAATTGAATCAAACTTGGCAGACCGAACTCCCATGACCAACAGAAAATACTGGAAGGGCTTGGTGGGCACTGAGCTTTAGTTTGGAAGTTGTAGTTCACCTACATCCAGAGAGCACTGTGGACTCAAACAATGACGGATTTGGACCAAACTTGGCACGAATACTCAATATGCCCAAATGTGAACCCTGGTGGAGTTTGGGGAAAAAATACCTTGACATTTGGGAGTTGTAGTTACTGGGATTTATAGTTCACCTACAATCAAAGAGCATTCTGAACCTCACCAATGACAGAATTGGGGGGAACTTCCCACACAGAACCCCATGACCAACAGAAAATACCTGAGGTCATTCAGTCCTACTCTCTTCACAAGGGCAAGAAAACATAATCAAAACCCTCCTGACAAAGAGCCATCCAGCCATAGATATAGATAGATAGATTCACACACTCACAGATATAGTTTCATAGTTTTGAAAGGGACTCCTAAAGAAGGACAATTATATGTTGCATGTTCCAGAGTAAGCAAACCAGTCAATATTGACATCAACACTGCCAAAGAAACAGCAAGAAATACTGTTTACCAACAAGCATAAAGAAATTACATATATTAAAAACCAACACTTTCGCATTACTTTATTTTCCAGATCGCCAGACTGGGCCACAGCAACGCGTGGCAGGAGACGACTAGTATTGTATATGTACATATAGCACTCTTAGAACAGTGTTTCTCAACCTGGGGGTTGGGACCCCTGGGGAGGTCACGAGGGGGTCACCAAAGACCATTAGAAAACACAGTATTTTATGTTGGCCATGGGGATTCTTTGTGGGACATTTGGCCCAATTCTATTGTTCTATTGAGCATTCAATTCTATTGAATGCTCTCTGACTGTAGGTGAACTATAAATCACAGCACGGTGCTCTCTGGATGAAGGTGAACTACAACTCCAAAGCTCAAGGTCAATGCCCACCAAACCCTTCCATGTTGGTCATGGAGGTTCTGTGTACCAAGTTTGATTCAATTCCATCACTGGTGGAGTTCAGAATGCTTTTTTTATTTATTTATTTATTTTATTTTATTTAGAACTAGCCGTACCCTGCCACATTTGCTGTGGCCCAGTCTGTGTATATGTGTTTTGTGTGTGTACGTGTGTATATAACTGCAGCTATTGTGATGCAGACCAGCAAGATCTGGAAGGCCTCAGGGCCTGCTGTAAATTATCCAAGACTTCCTTGCAACTGAGCAAACGTATGCTTAGAAACATCCTAAGGGCATGCTTAAAGGGTCAAGGTTTCCCCTTGACATGAAGTCTAGTAATGTCCGACTCGGGAGGGTGGTGCTCATCTCCATTTCTAAGCTGAAGAGCCAGTGTTGTCCATGGACACCCCCAAGGTCTTGTGGCCAGCATGACTGAATGGAGTGCCAGTACCTTCCTGCAGAAGCGCTACCTATTTATCTACTCAGATTTGCATGTTTTCAAACTGCTAGGTTCGCAGAAGATGGGGCTAACAGTGGGAGCTCATCCCGCTCCATGGATTCGAACCGCTAACCTTTTGGTCAGCAAGTTCAGCAGCTCAACGGTTTAACCCGCTGCGCCATCAGGGGACCCTAAAAGGCATAAAAGCATAAATTGGTCTGGCATCATTCAAGTCCATTGCTTTTTCTGGCACGGAGAGACAATGCCACTCCATAGCCATGCCCTTTATATTCTTTCAAAGTCCATTCTCTATTATTATTATTATTATTATTATTATTATTATTATTATTATTATTTAGAAAGTCCTCCCTTTCCTCTGCCTGTCTTAGCACTCTCTCTTCCTTTGGCTAGATCTTTTTTTTTTAATGGGAACTTTTGGTTCTAACTTTCCCCATAAAATACACTAATAATAATAATAATGATGATGATGATGATGATGATGATGATGCGAAAGTCTCTCCTTTCCTCTGCCTGCCTCTGCTCTCTTTCTCCCTTTGGCCAGACCTCCTAAAATACAGCCCGGTGCCTCCTTTTCCCCTCCTCTCTCTCTCTCTCCCCCCCCCCTTTTCCTGGGGGACTCTCCTTTTGCAGGCCTGGAGATTCCCAGAAGCGTACTGCACATTTGATTCCCATTAATTCCTCACTCATATCCACTCACCATTGGAAAGGCCTTTCTCCCAAGCCAGGGACCTCCCCTTTCCTCCAGGCGCTGGTGCGGAGCCGGGCAGCAGCAGTCCGGGCAGCGGGTCCAGGCGAGGGGGCGGCAGTGGTGGGTGTAGTGGCCAGGGGGCACTGGTGGGTTCCTGTGGTGCATTGGGGGGCACCGCTGCTCCCCATGGCAGAAGGGGCAAGCCTCCCGGGGTGCACACGCACAGGGCAAGGGCTGCCAGCACTCCCAATCCGGCCGGTGCCAAGGCAGCGGCTGGTAGAACTCCTGGTAGGTGGGCTCCAACGGGTAGGAATGGTCCATGGAGTGGCGCCGTCTCTGCTGCCCAATATGGTCACAGCCCACCGGCTGGAAGGCACTGCTCCGCTCCTCCTCCCGCCTGAGGGGTGGCACTCCCCCAAACCTGGCACAGGTGGGAGAGAGGGGCTTGCTGCTCTCCTCAAAGAACCTCCTCCGGTCGGCAAATGGCAAGAGGCCCGACTCCTCCGAGTGCCGGGACGGAGACTCTGGCTCGGTCGGCTGCGGACTCCCATTGTTCGGCTGCAGTTTGTGCTCCGGGGACCAGCGCCAGCGCCCCCCGCGCCCAGGAACTGGGGGCAGAGGGGACTTGGGAGGCCTCTCAGGCCCTGGGGCTCTCAACCTGGATTCTGGGCCAGGGCTGCGGAAAGTACCATCTCCTCCAAAGACACTCAGCTCTGAGCTCCAGCGCTTGATGCTCGGTCCTGATCGTTGAGGCCTGCTCTCTACCAAGGAGGGAGGTGGAGGAGGAGGCAGAGGGGAGGGGGCTTTAGGAGGAGGAGTGGGAGACCAGGAGGGGGCCTCCAAGCCAGAGGGACTCCTTGGGGGCTCCTCAGCCTCCTCCACAGCTTCCTCCCCAAACAAGAGGGCAGCTGAGCCCTTGGACTTCTGCAGCTGAGCCTTCCGCCATTGTATCTCATTCCGCAGGTTGGTGGCAAAGCGGTCGCTCCGCCGGCGCATCTGGGCAGAGCGGTGTGGGGCCAAGACACCCTTCTTGGCAGCTGGGCGGCTCTCTCCTGCATCCCGGATCCCTTCTGTCAATGCATTCGTGCCAATGGAGGCAACAGGGGGGTCCCCATTTCCTAGCAGTTGCTTTTGCTGTACAGATAAGGCAGGGGGCAACTCAACAGAGGCACTTCGGGGTCTTTCAAGGGGACACTTGATGCCTTCCTTTGTACCCAAGCAGAGATCTGTTTCTTCTACCTGTTCTGGGGACCTCTGCCTGTTCTGGACCTGGTTCTGCCAAGCATTGGGGCCCTTTTGCTCCAGGTGGAGTGGAGACACGGTCCATTGGGGATCATCCTGAGCATGGGACACATTCAGCATCTGCAACTGGGCAGCCAGCAAATGCTCTGGGGCACTATGCCGGTGGCCTAGAGGCCCCGGCCAGGAGACATCAAGATGGTGGTCCCGCCTGTCCCCATCATTCTTCCTTTCTAGATGTTGGTCTTCTGTGGGGCAGACCCCCTTATCGCCTTCATTCAAGAGGGACTCGGCACTCGGCACCTCCTTCTCCATCACCTGGTCAGTGTGCGAGCTAAGCAAGTAGTACTGCTCAGTGGCTAAAGGATCTTTGCTGTGCCCCGTGGAGCTTGGGCTCTCTTGCCCACGGACACAGAGGGAAGTGTCCGAGGTCCAGCGCCCTTTAGGGTTTGGGGGTCCTTCTGGGAGCGGGTTGCAGGCTCTCAAGCTGTCCTGCCTGATGGGAGGCTGAGGAGCAGAGGGGGTGGATTGGACAGAGGTCCGAGTGCGGGGCTGCCCAGCTCTGCTGCCCACTGCTGGGTCCACCCCTTCGCTTCCCGTCTGCAGGTACCGGGGGTCCGGTGGCAGTGGCTGCTGCTGCGTGGCACTCTCGGTAGAGGATCCCTCCTCGGGGCGCAGGGCGGAGTCAGAGGCGTTGGAGCTGGCGGAGAAGGAGCTGTAGGCGGAATCACGCTTGTCCTGGTACATGGCCTGGTCGATGGGGGAGAGGCTGCCCTCCAAGTAGTTCTGGCCAGCCGGGCCAAGGCTTTCCATGCTCCCCAGGGAGCTGCTCCGGTCAGTGCTGCAATGCCGGGAGAGTGGGCTCCAAGGCAGAGAGAGGTCACTAAGGAAAGCAGAGAGAGAGAGAGAAAGAGAGAGAGAAGGAGGAAGGCACTCAGTGAGTTGGCATCTGACATTGCAAACGCTGACTGTGTTTCTTCTATTCTAAGATGCTATCAACTGAATTACGCATGTCAATTTCAGTGCTACCACAAACAAAAAAATACCCATGATTCTAAGACGCACCTCATTTATAGGGGGGAAAAAGTGCATCTTAGAATCAAAATAGAATCACAGCACTGGGACTGTGGCACAGCTGGCTGGGAGTCAGCTGCATTAAGATCACTACTGACCGAAGAGTCATGAGTTCGAAGCCAGACCGAGTCGGAGTGAGCTTCCGACCAATTTGTGTAGCTTGCTGTCGACCTTTGCAGCCCAAAAGATAGTTACCATCTGTCAAGTAGGAAATTTAGGTACTGCTTATGCGGGGAGGCTAATTTAACTAATTTATGAGGCCATAAAAATCTCCAGCAAGCATGCAAAGAATGAGGAAGTACTTCATCAGTGTCACAAATGGACAGTGAAGTGACAGCTCCCCTGGTGGCCAGAATACCCTCATGAAAAAGTCAGAATGTTAAATAGTGTCTGAGTGTCTGTCTATATATGTTGTGTGTCTATGGCATTGAATGTTTGCCATGTATATGTACATTGTAATCCGCCCTGAGTCCCCTGTGGGGTGAGAAGGGTGGAATATAAATACTGTAAATAAATAAATAAATAAATAAATAGAGCAAACACATTATTCCTCATTTCTTACAGTTTTCCAATGGGTTGCTGTGAGTTTTCCGAACTGTCTGGCCATCTTCCAGATACAGATACATGCCACAGATACAGGTGAAACGTCAGGGGAGAATGCTTCTGGAACATGGCCATACAGCCTGGTAAACTCACAGCAACCCAGTGATTCTGGTCATGAAAGTCTTTGAGAATACAGTATTCCAATAGCTTCCCAAGTACCAGTGTTTAGGAGCCACCACAGAGAAGACTCCATTCCCTTTAGTACTGTTATCATCATCATCATCATCCATTGCTACCATCATTATTTGTAACCCATCTTTCTCCCAACTGGGACTCAGGATAGCTCAACACTGAAAAAAACCCAATGTAATTAAAAATGAACCAAAAAATAAATACTGCAATGGCCTGGACAACTTTAGCAGCAGTAGCACAATGGGTCACAGTGGTGCAATGGGTTAAACCCTTGTACCACTGAACTGCTGACCTGAAGGTTGGCTGAACTGCTGACCTGAAAGCTGGCAGCTCAAATCCGCAAGATGGGGTGAGCTTTTATCTGTCAAAGCTCTAGCTCCTGCCAACCTAGTAGTTCAAAAACATGCAAATGTGAGCAGATAAATAGATACTGCTTCAGCGGAAAAAGGCAAAAAGACACTCCAAACCGTCTTGCCAGCCACATGACTGGGTGGTGACAACGCAGGCTCCTTGGCTTGAAAATGGAGAAAAAGCACCTCCCCAGAGATGAGGACTGCCTCCAGAAGCCGGAAATGAAAGGAGAAGCCTTTGCCTTTCTTTGTATGCACTTGTATTTGATTGTAAAGGCATTGAATCCTTGCCTATTTAAATGCTGTAATCACTCTGAGTCCCGTAGAGGAGAAGGGCAGAATATAAATAAAGTGTATTATTATTATTATTATTATTATTATTATTATTATTATTATTATTTGAAACAAAACAAGATGAGTCCACAGCAGACACTCTGCTGGCTGTTGTATTGGATCACACGTCGGACACTTCCCAAGTGTCTAGGACTGTGTGATGTATCGGAGAATAATGTGTGCAGATCCCAGTAAGGTGGCCTTCTGCAGCTGGCAGATGGTAATTTTGTCAGCCGATTGTGTTTAAGTGCAGGCCAAGGTCTTTAGGCACTGCACCCAGTGTGCCGATCACCACTGGGACCATAATAATAATAATAATAATTATTATTATTATTATTATTATTATTATTATTATTATTATTTCTGACTCTTTGGAAAATCTCAGCACACATCTAGAAATGCCCAAAACAGCAGAACTGGGCAAGCCTGGCTTGAGGGCCCTTCTGGGTGATGCACAGACAGAGAGCGAGGGCTAAAAACACTAGAGAATGGATGGCATTCCATGTAAAGTGGGATGATGAGGATGGCATATTTTTAATGGGCGCTTTCCTACTCAGGCAAGGACAAATTAGTGTGTGGGCCCGTGGAGGCATCAAGGGCCACAAATCGGTCTTATTCCTCTTTGCAGAGTAATGGATTAATGGATGGCAAGGATCACGGGAGCGGACGTCACGCCTCCTCTTCTTCTCAATTGCCCTTTTGTTCCGCAGGGCACTGTTTTGCCAAGTCCTGGAGCATTTTCACTGCTGCCTGGTGCAGAAGTGGCATTGAGGGGATGGCAGAGCAAGGCGTTAGCACCATCCTACCGGTCTCCAAAGTGGCCCGCTTTGGGTGGCGTTGGGAAGGGGGTGGACGGGGTCCCGGGCCCTGCCTGCCCACTGAGCCCCTTCTGCAACAAGAAGGGTTGGCTGCTCCTGCTGCTCTGTGGGTTGGCAAAGGAGTCTGGAATCCATTAGCTCCTTTCTCCGGAGCCACCTCCCTTCCGGACTGAGCGAAGAGGAGGAGGAAAGGCGCGACCCAAACAGCAGCCAAGGAGAAAGAGCCATGTTGGGAGGGAAGGGGAGGAATGCCTGCCCCATAAGTCTGCCCTATCTCTAAGCCCTAGACTCCAAGGGAAGGGGAAAGGGAAGAGGGCTATGAAGCCCACGAAACATTCAAGCGCTTGAGGTGCAACTTCATTCAAAGCAATTGAAAAGGTGCCTCTTGCTATTACTGACAAGGAGGCTGAGAAAGTTATTCCCCCCATTAATTCTTACTTGGAGCCCTCATGGTGCAGCAGGTTAAACCACTGAGCTGCTGAACTTGCTGACCAAATCCAGGGAGCAGGGTGAGCTCCCACTGTTAGCCCCAGATTCTGCCAGTTCGAAAACATGCAAGTGTGATCAATAGGTACTGTTTCTGCACAAAGGTAACGGTGCTCCATGCAGTCACTTTTGTTTTTTTGTTGTGTCAGGAGCGACTTGAGAAACTGCAGGTTGTTTCTGGTGTCATGCAGTCATGCTGGCCACATAACATGGGAGGTGTCTATGTTAATCTTATGGTTATGTTTTTTTTTTACTTGTATGTTTTGTGTTTTGTGTTTCTGCCAACCTAGCAGTTCGAAAACATGCAAATGTGAGTAGATCAACAGGTACCGCTCCAGCAGGAAGGTAACGGCGCTCCATGCAGTCATGCTGGCCACATGACCTTGGAGGTGTCTATGGACAACGCCGGCTTTTTGGCTTAGAAATGGAGATGAGCACCACACCCCAGAGTCAGACATGACTGGACTTAATGTCAGGGGACAACCTTTACCTTTACCTATGTTTTGTGATGTTACCTGGGAACTGCTCTGAGTCCCTGAGTTTTATTATTGTTGTTGTTGTTGTTAATGCTGGTTCTTCAGCTTAGAAATGGAGATGCGCACCAACCCCCAGAGTTGGACACAACTAGACTTAATGTCAGGGGAAACCTTTAACTTTACTTAACATGTTGGCTGGGGGATTCTGGGACATGTAGTCCAAAAAAAGACACTTCCCCAAGTTCTTTAATATGATGCTTGTTGCATTTTAAGAGCTGTAGTTCAGAAAAAGGAATTTTCCCAAGATCTGGTAGCATGCTGACTGTGGAATTGTCAGGCACTGTTCACAGTGGTATGATTAATTATTATATTATTATTTATTTTATTTATTTATTTTTTGTCGTGTCAGGAGCGACTTGAGAAACTGCAAGTCGCTTCTGGTGTGAGAGAATTGGCCGTCTGCAAGGACGTTGCCCAGGGGACACCGGATGATTTGATGTTTTTATCATCCTTGTGGGAGGCTTCTCTCATGTCCCCGCATGAGGAGCTGGCGCTGATAGAGGGAGCTCATCCGCCTCTCTCCCTGGATTCGAACCTGCGACCTGTCGGTCTTCAGTCCTACCGGCACAGGGGTTTAACCCACTGCGCCACTGGGGGCTCAGGCACTGTAATGCCGAAATAGGAGTCTGTCTGATCACTGCAAGGTTCTGGGAGTTACCATTCAAAAGGGGATTTTTCTGCCTCTTGAGCATTTTGGAGGTATCCTGGGTTCAGTCCCAGGGAAACAGACCCAAGGAGATACACATCCCATCCCATCCCGTCCCCCTTCCACAGACACAAAGAGGCACTCACCTGGTGTCGCAACCGGAGTGCCAGGAGAGGCTGAAGGCATCAGGCGGACAGGGCATGGTGGGCGCCTCAGTCCGGCCCTCGGAAAGCTTGGCCAGGTGCCATGAGTGCGGCCGGATGAGGGGCACGTTCCTCCTGCAAAGGGGACAATAGGAAGCCAATGGAGGGAGGAAGCCGCACACCAACCTCCCATCCACTCAAACACCCACCATCCACGGCTCTCACGCAGAAGTCACACGGGATGTTACACGAAGTAACACAATTTTTGTTCCTGGGTTAGAAATGTCATTATTTCCTCTACTATAAAAACATGGGAAATGTTTATCAAATATTCCAGATATATAAACCTCACTTGTCACATAACACTTCCCAACAAAGGATTCCCCCAGGCAGGAAGCACCCAGGCTTTGGGGCTGCAAGGCTATTCAATGTGAATCAAGGTGAACAATTGCAGCATTCACTCTTGCCTCCAACAGACAAGAGTTCTTTCTCCCATCTTGGGCATTGTTCCAGAGATATATACTGTATATACTCAAGTATAAGCCTAGTTTTCCAGCCCCTTTTTTAGGCTGAAAAAGCTCCCCTCGGCTTATACTCGAGTCAAAGGTATTTATTATTTAACTCTGTCATTAGTATTATTTTTATTACATTTATTGATTTACTCTTTTGTTGGTATTATTACATTTACATTATTTTACTCTATTATTTTATTACATTTATTTTACTCTATTTATTATTATTATTACATTTACTATTTTACTCTATTGTTATTTTTCTTACATTTATTTTATTCGATTTATTATTATTATTACATTTATTATTTTACTTTATTCTTGCTGTTATTATTATATTTATCATTTTACTCTATTATTATTGGAAGGATACGTAAGCACATTTACACGGAAAAAGGTTAGAATAATGGTTTAATCAAAGTTGGTCAGTCTTATTTTAGATTACAGATTTATGTAAACACTAGCCGTCCCCTGCCATGAGTTGCTGTGGCCCACATGAGGGTTCTGTGTGGGAGGTTTGGCCCAATTCTATCGTTGGTGGGGTTCAGAATGCTCTGTGAATGTAGGTGAACTATAAATCCCAGCAACTACAACTCCCAAATGTCAAGATTCTATTTTCCCCAAACTCCACCAGTGTTCACATTTGGGCATATGGAGTATTCGTATAGAGTTTGGTCCAGATCCATCATTGTTTTGAGTCCACAGTGATCTCTGGATGTAGATGAACTACAAGTCCAAAAGCAAAGGACACCCTTCCAGTATTTTCTGTTTGTCATGGGAGTCCTGTGTGCCAAGTTTGGTTCAATTCCATCATTGGTGGGGTTCAGAATGCTCTTTGATTGTAGGTGAACTATAAATCCCAGCAACTACAACTCCCAAATGACAAAATCTATTTTTTGAGTGAAGGACATACATTGGGTTGTTAGGTGTCGTGTGTCCAAATTTGGTGTCAATTTGTCCAGTGGTTTTTGAGTTCTGTTAATCCCACAAACGAACATTACATTTTTATTTATATAGATAACGTTTACATTATTTTACTCTATTATTTTATTACATTTATTTTACTCTATTTATTATTATATTTATTATTATTACATTTATTATTTTACTTTATTATTGCTGTTATTATTGTATTTATTATTTTACTCTATTATTATTGGAAGGATACATAAGCACATTTACACTGAAAATGGTTAGAATAATGGTTTAATCAAAGTTGGTCACTCTTATTTTAGATTACAGTTTTATGTAAACATTGAAAAATTTAACCTACTCAATTAATGTAATTTTATTAGTATCTATTTTTATTTTGAAATTGACCAGTAGCGGCTGCATTTCCCACGCTTGGCTCATACTCGAGTCAATAAGTTTCCCCAGTTTTTTGCAGGAAAATTAAGTGCCTCGGCTTCTATTCGGGTCGGCTTATAATCGAGTATATACGGTAAACCCCACTTGCCTAGTTTCCAACCAACCTCACAACCACATAGATGAGGATGGCTGTGAGTTTTCCAGGCTGTCTGGCATGTTCCAGAAGCATTCTCTCCTGACGTTTTACCCACATCTATGGCAGGCATCCTCAGAGGTTGCGAGGTCTGTTGGAAAGTAGGCAAGTGGGGTTTATATATTTGTGGAATAATGTAACTTTGTTTTTGCAGAACGTCCGGCAGCATATTTTGCTCTAGTTTTTCAATGAATATCTCAGCAAGTCTCAACCAATTCAACATAGTTTGTGGCAGCCACAAAAACGAAGTTTCTGGAGTCCTGCACAATTAAACAGGAAATAACACTTTCAAACAGAACATTTTTCAAATTCTGTTACATAGTGTTATCCTTGTACACAGTCGGCAGTGGCAACTGGTCATCTCAAAGTCAAAAAAGTCTCCTTGAGTGACCACATTCTCAACAGCTATCTATTGGTGCTAGCGGATCATCTGGTCCTCAGGATGGAGAACGGGAAGAGCTCTACCCATCTTGTCAGAAGGTTCCAAAAATAGGGAAACGGATTAGACCACTCAGTATTTTAGTTAGTCCCTCTTCTCTTTCTCTCTGCATTCTGGGAGCTGTAGTACCTGAGCTCCAGCAGGGAGAAAGTGCTTCAGTTCTGCCACATTCTGGGCTGCTGCAAGGAACCTTTGGGTCTAGAAGTGGCCGTGACCCTTTGCCCCATGGCCATGAAGTCACCCCAACCCACGGGCTTAACTCATCCCGATGGGGGATTCCTCCACCCCCAGAGTTTCCTGTTAGCATGACCCAGCAGATCTTCTTTTTTGTGTGTCAGCACCAACTTGAGAAACTGCAAGTCGCTTCTGGCATGAGAGAATTGGCCGTCTGCAAGGACATTGCCCAGGGGATGCCTGGAGGTTTTGATGTTTTACCATCCTTGTGGGAGATTTCTCTCATGTCCCCGCACTGGGAGCTGGAGCTGACAGAGGGAGCTCATCCATGCTCGCCCTGGATTCAAACCTCCGACCTGTCGGTCTTCAATACTGTCGGCACAAAGGTTTAACCCATTGCAGTGCCGGGGATCCCAGACAGAATAGTGAGGTGCCAGCACTCTTGGCCAGAGAAGGTGAAACACTTCCTGGATTCAAACCTCCAACCTGTCGGTCTTCAATCCTGTCGGCACAAGGTTTTAACCCAGTGTTTCTCAACCTGGGGGTCGGGACTCCTGGGGGGTCGCAAGGGGGTGTCAGAAGGGTCACCAAAGACCATCAGAAAACACAATGTATTATATTGGTAATGGGGGTTCTGTGTGAGAAGTTTGGCCTAATTGTATCATTGGTTGGCTTCAGAATGCTCTTTGATTGCAGGTGAACTATAAATCCCAGCAACTTTAACTCCTAAATGTCAAGGTCTATTTTCCCCAAACTCTACCAGTGTTCACATTTGGGCATATTGAGTATTTGTGCCAAGTTTGGTCCAGATACATCATTGTTTGAATTCACAGTGCTCTTTGGATGTAGGTGAACTACAGCTCCCAAACTCAAGGTCAATGCCCACCAAACCCTTCCAGTATTTTCTGTTGGTCATGGGAGTTCTGTACCAGAATGTTCTTTGATTGTAGGTGAACTATAAATCCCAGCAACTACAACTCCCAAATGACAAAATCAATTCCCCTCCCAACTGGTCCAGATTCATCATTGTTTGAGTTCACAGTGCTCTCTGGATGTAGGTGAACTACAACTCCCAAACTAAAGGTCAATGCCCACCAAACCCTTCCAATATTTTCTGTTGGTCTTGAGAGTTATGTGTGCCAAGTCTGGTTCAATTGCATCGTTGGTGGAGTTCAGAATGCTCTTTTAATTTAAATGAACCATAAATCCCAGCAACTACAAATCCCAAATGACAAAATCAATCAAGTATTCAAATTTAGGCATATTGAGTATTTGTGCCAAATTTGGTCCAGTGAATGAAAATACATTCTACATATCAGATATTTACATTATGATTCACAACATTAGCAAAATTACAGTTATGAAGTCGCAACAAAAATGTCGTGGTTGGGGGTCACCACAACATGAGGAACTGCATTAAGGGGTCGCGGCATTAGGAAGGCTGGAAACCACTGGTTTAACCCATTGCGCCACTGGGGGCTCCTATGAACAAAGCTTTGCAGGTAAAGGTAAAGGTTGTCCCCTGACATTAAGTCCAGTCATGTCTGACTCTGGGGTGTGGTGCTCATCTCCATTTCTAAGCTGAAGAGCCAGCGTTGTCCGTAGACACCTCCAAGGTCATGTGGCCGGCATGACTGCATGGAGTGCCGTTACCTTCCCGCCAGAGCGGTACATATTGATCTACTCACATTTGCATGTTTTCGAACTGCTAGGTTGGCAGAAGCTAGGGCTGACAGCGGAACCTCATGCCGCTCCCCGGAATCGAACCTGCAGCCTTTCAATCAACAAGCTCAGCAGCTCAGTGCTTTAATCCACTGCGCAACCAGGTATATTCCGGCTCTCTGTGACACGGCTCCACAACATTGGCACCCAAATGGGGACCATCACAGCCGCTAACTCACATGCCAAGCAGCCAAGGAGGGCACGACGTGAGCATCTAGCACCCCTTTTCTGTCCTCTGGTACCACGTTGGCTAATACCACCCCAAAAGCAAAAGCAGATTCATGAATAGAAGGAAGGTGTGGAACGGGATTCCCTATGAGAACCCTCTGGTAGCATCAGAGGGGCAGCAATGATGGCTTAAATATGGTACAACCTCCAAAATACTTGGATTCAGCCTGGATTCCTCTTCCAAAAAGGAGGCAACGGAAGCCAGCAAGGGGTCAATGGGCTTTGCAGGTTCCCCAACTCACCTGGGAGACGCCTTGGGGACAGAGGAGGACCCTGCCCAGTAGAGCGGAGCTGCCGAGACGAGGCAACCCAGAGGGTCTGGGTATGACTGCAAGCCAGATTAGGAGGGAAGCAGGGAGGGAAGGGCTCCTTGCTGGACAGAGGCTTCCTGCCCCCCCAACAATAACACCCCCCTCCAGAGCCAGACGCCATCCTCATCTCCTCCCAGCCAGGAAGCAGTGAGGAAGTGATGGCCGGAGAGATAGTGGCCATATCAGGCTTGGGACGCCCCAAGGGAAGAGGGCTTCCTGGTTCTTGGAGGAGCAGCAGCAGAGGTGGC